ATATAAGTAGTTTTTTCCAACAAAGTTCTTGAGTGATTATAGGTCAATAATTTATTTACTACATCATTATCATAGAAAAATCCATTGGTCATTAGATGATTTAATTTTGGACATTCTTGATATTGCTAGAAAGGTGAATTGGAATTTTTTTTTATGGAATCAATTAGATCTTAGCTTTCAAGCATATGAAAGTTAAACAACTTGATATTCAATAAATCTAAACAACTCCGAATATCACTTAACTCGGAGAAAACACGGGAATTTTAGACATCATTTATGGAGAAAATCCAAACATATTATGTAGTTTCGAAAATTGAGAAAATATAAACAAATAATGTAGCTTCATCATTCATGCCTTCAATAAATACAGAGTTAACCTAAAAAAATCCTAAATACCATCTGGAACCAAAAAAAAAAACTATTTCTTAACACACAAAAATACTCTGTGTATATTCTGTCTCATTTATGTTGGAATATCAGTTAGCTGAGAGGAAACAAAAGAATTTTATACACCATTTGTGGAGAAAATCAAAATAGATAATATAGATTCATCGTTCATGCCTTCAACAAATATAGAAAAAACCTTAAAAAAATAATATTAAAAAAACTTAAACACCATATGGAACCATAAAACTATTTCTTAATATACAAAATATACTATGAATATTCTTTATCATTTATTAAAAAAAATACATTTTGATGCTAATATTGGTTGGAGATGGCAAACCCTAAATAGTAGCTGTTCATTCTTCTCTTTTCAAACACCTTACAAATAAAATGACACCTTCGTCAAACTCACTCTGAAGGAGATAACAGAGAGATCCTCATTCAAAGATGTAGATTGAAGAAGAAGATGAGAGCAATAGTTGTTCGATGATCAAAATTTCAAAATCCTCTTCCAACTCCGAAACCCTAAACCTTTTCGTCTTACGAGCTTTTAAAAGTGAAATGACGGGACAATTGCACGGTTTTTTCAAAACTATCATCAGGTCTTGGCAGTGGTCGGGTCAAACGTTATAAAATATATGTATTAAAATTACACTATGCATAATCTACGTGTCCTCCTTTAATTGGAGTTTGGAGTGCAGAGCTATATTTGACTCTACGCATAATAATTTCTGGAGAGAGAGAGCTGGTCAATGGGTAAATTTTTAAAATAAGTATGATTAAAATTTTAATTATGTGATTAAGCATCGCAAAAAAAAATTTAAAACTAGGCAAAATCACCGTTTAACGGACAACTTATTGCTAACTCAGTTGCCACTCAATCAATTAATACTGTAGCAAGTCACTCATTTAACAGGCGACTTGCTACAATACCAAAACAATAAATTATATTTTTTTTATTTAAATTATTTTGAAAAAAAAAAAATTTTCAAGTTCAGAATACACATCATTTACTTTTTATCAAAATCCATCTCAAACTTAACACATCTTATGAATCATCCATCTATCCACATATGTAAGAGATTGATTTTCAAACCTTCCTTTATTTTCCAAATGTTTGTTTACTGCTTTCATCTCTGTCTCTTTTGTTTGTTTCTTTTGTTTGGATTTGTTCAATTTGTCATTATTCTGGATTTATGTCTTGAAGATTCAGAGGAAGCTCCATCCAGAGTGCAAAGTAGAGAGGAGTAAGGGAAAGAGGAGAGAGATGAATATGGCGCGGCCGCATTTTAAAAGAAGCTTGTTTAAGATCTAATTAAGTAAAAGAAGTATAATTAATGAAAAATTTAAAAATGAGCAAATTCGCCAAATTATATAGCGCGGTCTAAATATGCCAAAGAATTCAAAATAAGTCAAATCATTTGGCTTATTAGCCTAGAGAGAGAAAAAGTGAGAGGAAGGAGAGAGAACGGATGCCAGAGAGAGGGCGGGAAAAGAGAGAGAGAAAGAGAGCTTACTAGGGATCGAGAGAGAGGAGAGCAGTGATTTTTTTTCTAAGTCAAGAGGAGAGCAATGATTAATATAACTTAATATAATTAAAAAATTAAAAGTTATAATTTTAATTTAATTACGTTTTATAAAGTAAATATAACATAATTAAATTAAATTAAGTTATAAATTTAGTTAAATTATATTATAAATTTAAATAAACATAATTATAAATTAAATTAAATTATAAATTTAAATAAAGTTATTAAATTTAATTAAGTTTTAAATTTTAATGTAATTAAATTAAATTTAAATAAATTTATTAAAATTATAATGAAATTAAATTAAATTAAGTTATAAATTTAATTTAGTTTAAAAATTTAATAACTTAGTTTGTAACTTAATTTAATTTAATTTATATTTTAAATTAAATTTAATAAGTTTAATTAAATTTATAACTTAATT